TGTGCTATGGACATAGACTCTGAGCCCATAATGCATATGCATTATACATCTGATCCTGTGACTTAACAAGGCTAGCCGATGGCTGTTTTTCCTCTGGAGAAGATAATTACTACACAACGCACAGAATAAAATGAAAACGGGTGACTAACAGCGTCTAGGCAAAACATTCAACTCGGAATACACCGTCATAGTCGCTGACAGCCTCATATACGGAACGGCAGTCGAGTCAAGAACTACAAATCCTCTCTGGGGGGTATAATCAAAAATAACGAGGAGATTGAAAACATGCAGCTGCCCTATTTGTAGATTCACGGCACGGAAATGCTGAAGCGAATTCCGTTCGAGAATGATTGTGACAATCCTACGTGAAGCACCGACGAGATCCAAACGATTCGCAGAAAGTTAGAGTGCGACAGTAATCAATGCAGCCAAACAGACTGGAATTGCTCGTATGTATTGAGAAGACATGAAATCTAAACTAAGCGAGGTAGGAAGTAAACCAACCACCTGACATCAGAACTGAAAGCATTAATATGCAAATAACCGACTTGATTTTAAACTGCAGAAGTCGGAGTTGAACTGAGGGGACAGGGCAAACCTTATCCCCCAATCCTCCTCTATTTCACTTCAGATACGTCGCGTTGCTACTAGTCTAATATATTATTTTTAGGAAAGATAAAACGTGCTAGTAGCTAGTAAAATGCTGGATTGATCTTAAAATCTATTTTCATGGGGCGTCCTCGAAGGAAAAAAATCTATTTTCAAGTTCACTTGCAATCCACACGAGAACCAACGTAGCTTATTGATATTGGAGAAGCACTCGTCTCCTTTACATACAACCGTGGTGTAGCATGCCGTTCTCCTACGCTTGGCAGCATTTGGCACGAGTTCAAGGTGTTCGCGCTGCAGAAGAGAAGTTGGACTCTCTGCGCACCATCAATGCATACGCCAACATGAAAAAACGCTGCTTCATGTGCCCTACGAATCACGACCACCACCAAATGCGTTATCGCATTTGGTTCTGCAACTCTTCGACCTGTAAAGAAGACAATTTAAGCTGTACGTATTGGCTCAAGGTTTTGAGGTGTCTTCAAACAGACATCAACGACTTTTTTTAGCATGGACAACACGCGTCTCCGGTCGGGTCGCCGCATTCAAGGCCCTTCACTCGTGTCATGAAGTTTGAGACTCGAAAAATGACAGAAACGTCAGCAACACCAAATCGAATTCTGAATTCATTAATTGATCAGTTCTCGCTTAACCAAGGCAACGTTCCTAAGCTACAAACAGTCCAAAACTTTGTCTACAATCACAAGAAAACAATTCTCCTCCAAACAGATATACTGGACGATATGATTTCCATTGTAAGAAGTGCTCAGTATTCTGACGATCTTGATGAATCGACTACGTTCACGTTTGGATATAACGTGGACAATGAAGGAGATCCGGTTCTTGGAGACGGGACAGACGAAGATCCTTTCGTTGTGGCGTTTTCTACGAAAACAATGATGCGTCAGCTGGATCGTGATCCCGAGTCTTTCTTATTTCATATGGACGCAACATTTAAGCTGAACACAGTTGGGTTTCCTCTGTTTGTGTGTGGAATTTCAGATGCATCGCGGTCATTTTTTCCAGTGGCACTTTTTCTGGTTTCACAAAGAACTGAAACTCAGTACGCAGCTGCGCTACTTTCAATTAAACAACAATTTCTTCGTGTTGTCGGACGTCCCGTGAGAGTTACGTACTTTATGGCTGACGCGGAGGACGCCCAATACAACGGATTCAGGCGCGTGATTTCGTCAGGGTCTGAGTCATCGTATATAATGTGTTGGTTTCACGTAGTCAAGAATGTACGAGACAAGCTGAAAGGACTTTCAGATACAGCAGTGCATCTGGTATTCAAACATTTATACGAGATGCACTATGCTCGTAATCACCTTGAGTACGAAGAGCTCAAGGCGACAGCATTTCAGAAGTGGGCTAATGTGGATTCGCTAGGTAATTTTATCGATTACTTTAACCGGGAATGGGTTATTTCTCGTTATTGCAACTGGTAGTGTTTTCATTCTCCATCCGGGTACGCTAAGACGAATAACCCCGCTGAGACATTCAACAAGCTGATTAAAAGAGACTACAGTCTTCGCGTACGTCTTAAAACGGGCGAATTGATGCAGAAAGTACTGCTTTTGTGTAAGCACCAATCTATTCGTGCCTCTGTTTTTGCAATTGAAGCCAAGCCTAGTGAAAAACTCGTTTCTCGTGCGAAAAAATTGTATTTATCACCGAATCTCGCTATAACAGAGAGATAATACGACATTCGCTTTTTGCTTGGCGAAATGAGCACGGCTGAAGATATACTCGTAGCTCGGAGCTACAAGAGTGGTGATGATTATCGGGACACACAGGATAAAAAAGAGGTGAACAAGCGGCGAATGGAGCGATGGGGTTAGCCGACACATGGATGGGATGTAAACGTTACTCGGCGCGTGTGTCCATGTCGATCGTTTTTTAAATATGCATTTTGTGTCCACTTAGTTGTGTGCATGAAGATACGAAAGCTAAGAGTGGCTGGCTGGAAAAATGATCCACGTCCTCTTGCTAATCGTAGGATTAGACGGAATCTTTCCTCTAACAAAATCGGGATGGTAACTACCACGACCATCAACACTGTTGAAAGAAGCAACGGCGCGTCCAGTAATAGTCGACGGGGTGATCGATCTGGATCAGGACGCAACCTAGGTGGTCGACGTATCTCGGCAAGAGGTCGTGGCAATGGTATCTTACGGGATAGTATTGGTGATACAAGAAGAGATCGGACTGATTCCGCACGACGCCAGACAAATATCTCCCTTCGTGGATGTAGGGGTAGAGGTGGCACTGGAGGACGACCGAGAACTGTTGGTCATGCATTACAAAGAGAATAGATGAACGGATGCTATATTATTTGAATATATACGAATTAATATTCATTCAATCAGCTGATAGTAATGATTAACTAAGCGATGCGTTGAGTTTTTGCGTTTGTCAAATTATTTCGGCAGCTATGAGCCATTAAATGTGGGGATCCCTGCTGGTTTCTTGAAATATTGAAACGTCGAAGGGAGAATGGGCGCATCTGGATCCTCAGAGACGTTTAACTCTCTGCATTCTTCATATGCAGATACAGCAGCTTCTCTATAGCCATCGTGTACCTTTCGAATTCTATTCTCCGAGAATTCTTGCGAAGGTTCATCCTGAACGTCTCCATGCTCAGGCGGAAACATTGCAATACCCCTCATAGATACAAACGCTGTAGCCAAGCGCGTAGCTATAGCCGTATATGCGTCCTCGGCTGTCGTTGCTCCATCGTCATCACGTGACTGCAGTATAATGCTCTCAACGGTACCAGTTACCGCATCAATGACGCCGCTTAAGCTCCCGCGATTGTATGACGTGTGAATGTTTAGGTTGCGCTCTGCTGTCAGAACTTGATAGTATTTATTACGGGCTCGAATCAGCTTCGCTTGGGTTTGCTTAATGTTTGTAGTTTCAGACACACGTTTTTGTGATTGGCTCCCTTCTCGTTTCGACTTCTTTGTAGAAGAGTGAGATCTAGTTCCTTTCTTACTTCGTTTTGCGCGCTCATCCTCTATCCCGATCCCTTGATCAATAAGGTGCCGGGGAAATCCTTCATCCGCAGTCTTGTTCAACATCAGCAGCCTTTCTTCTAGAGGCAGAACACTCCAAGCAGCTCTCAACGCAACACCGCCTCGATTCAGCAGCCATTTACTGTCCGATACGCGTAGATATGTCCCCTGTAGTTGCAATCTATCTCGAGCGTACTTCTGAGCGTATATAGATCCATTATCTGAAGCGAAAAGCCACACGGCAGCATGAGCTCGCATGGTGTTTTGATTTTCCGACTGAAAGTGATCTTTGATTCTTGCTCTGCACCTAGTAGTGCAAGCTCCAGAATTAGAAGCAGGTCTATTACAAGCAGCTCCAATCTTCCTGAAGGCGAAACGCCTACATAATTATGTTCCAGATTCAATAATTATGCTCTAGAGCATATATAGTGAATGATAGTAGCTTGTGAGTATTTAACTGCTAAGTAATAACTCCCGATAAGCTAAGACTAATTGTGCACTATGGCATAATTCAGCATTAATAGTGCATACGCTACTCGTTTAAATTGGCGGAACGCTACATGAGAGTCTAGTTGTGATGTTTCAAGATACAAATAACAAAAATCAAGGCCAACACAAAATGTGCACTGAGGCAGAATTCAACGTGGCTGGTGTGTTCGAGCTGTCATCACGTGGTCGACGAAGCATTTTCCACGCAAACGTACGCCAGTTGACTCCATCGCGACCCGGTGAGTCAAGACTAATTCTGCACTGAAGCAGATTTTGCTACGTGCAGTTATCGAAGCGGTAAGGCGTCGAAATATGTCAATCATAAAACTAGGAATATTAATAAAATTGTTATCTCATATGACTACTCTTTCGATAGTAATGACCTTGCACAGCTGTTCTAATCTTACATACGTTTCTTGGATGCCCTATTTGTATCAGTTCAGATCTTATGTGCTTGGTTTAAAGTTAAAGTTGCCTGGTTTAAATCTAAGGTTTTCTCGAGGATCGGGTATTCCCCCCCGGCTGCTCTTACAAATGCCAAGTCAAAACAAATCTTAAGTGTTATCCTGCAAAACAAGGTGTTTTTGATGCGTTCTCAGTTTTAGGCCGTGTTCGACTTGCTCTATTAATATTTCAGCGAAGTTTTATTCTGATTCTTAAGGTTTTGAGGTTTTATACCTAAGTTTAAAAAAAAACTCAAATGCCTCAATTGGTAGACTTGAACACGGCCTTATTTTGTGCTAATAAGACAAGTTTTACGCAAGTTCGAATAGAACGCACAATACTAAAGTTACTGAATCCAGTACTACAGTTTTGTTTTTATTTGATATATTTGTTTTTATTTTTCGCGGGGAAAAGCTAAGACAAAATAATTCCCAAATTGCTATGGGGAAGAGTCGTGAGAATCGAGTGTTCATGTCCGCATCGTCCAGTGGCGCGCTGCGCTATCGTCGCAAGGCCCTAGCGCCCGCCGACAACCAGCAGCCGGAGCAGCAGCCAGCGGGCCCCAAACAGCTGCAGCAGCTTAAGGCTCTGCCAAATCACAGTAACAGCAACGGCAGTCGGAGCAGAAGCAATAGGTCGTCACCCGTTCTCCACTTCCAACCCAAGCTTCGGCAGCCAAAGCAACCCACGCTGCTCAAGCATCTACTATGGAAGGCTAAGGCTGGGCAGCCCACGCCATCATTGCTGACATTGACGCATCAACAACAGAGAAGCCGCGATCAGGAGGAGGAAGAGGATTACGAAGATGAGGAAGTAATTTTTGCCAGAGAGCAGCGGGAGGCCTACAAGCTGCTGGCGAGCGAAGCGAGTGCGTTGGCTGCCACTAAGCTGAAGGCGATGGCTACGTTGCCATCGTCGGAATTGTTCGCGAGCGAATCCTCCAGCCAGGAAACGCAGAGTGGATCGGAGGAGGAGGACGTAATCTTGCCCTATAGCGATATGTTTACGATGGTACAGCTCCCAGCTGAGTGGCAGGTCTACAAGGAGCAGGAGGGTGACGCCGAGGAAACGGATGGGGAGGAGAACTCAAATCGAGTTGTGCCGTCAGAAATACTGACGACGCCATTATAGAAACAGGGCGAACTACCGGTAGACAAAGCAGCGATGATCTATTGCAAACACCGCTGCAGCTACCCCGAGCGGGCTGCTGATACCGCGAGTGTGTGACCTTACGGGACTTCAGATACCCGTGTCTTCACACCCGACGCGTCCACTAGCTCAGTACACACGCAATAAGCAATACCCTCGGTTTCAATCTCTTTATTCGCGTACGTCGCCGGCACG